AAGTAGGAATAATAATGAATTATTTATTTTGATCTGGGTAATTTTGTTTGCTTTGAAAGCGGAAAACGCAAGGTCAGTGTGTGTGGTGAAAACTTTTCCTTTCTTTCTCCAAAGGCAGTGATAATGCGTGAAAAGGGGGAAAAAACTTTTTTGTTCCAGACTATGATCAAACAAAGCACCCCACTTATTAGATATTGATGGTGACACATGTCACACAGCTAGTAACTGTACAAAAAAATTTGCTTCATGTTTTGATAGATACTTAGATTTGTTTGATGACATCTATTTTGATATGAAAAGCTGCAGTAAAAGAGAAAATTTTTTCAAAATCTGTGAATACCTTGCCATTAAAAAGCTTAAGCCCTTGAAGAGACCAGACCATAGGTGGGTGTACATTTTATGTGTTTCAGAAAGAATCAAAGATCTGTGGGATGCTCTTATTGCATTTTATTTTCACTACTTGGATAAAACTGATAAAGGAGATTATTTTTCTTATGTTGAAACTGTATGTAATAAAAGAAATATTTCTGCAGCTCAGAAAAAAATTGTTGAAGGGGTGCATTCTTGCTTGCATTCCCAACAACTCACAAAGGATGCTTTAGCTCGGAAAAAAGAATACTAAATGGGTTATTTGTTATGCAAAACAAAACTTTATTGCATATGGCATTATATTCAGCAGTATTACCAGAGTTCAACACATATATTAAATTATTTGAACCAAAAAAACCAATGCTTCATTTAATAAATTCCAATATTTATAAATTGATGGCAAAATTTTTCTCTTTTTTTATGAAGACAGAAAATATAGAGTGCACATCTTATAATGATTTATTAAAGGTTGATGTCACAAATCCAGAATTTCATCTACCTAGCAAAGTAATATTTACTGGTGCAGAAGCTTCCACTCTCCTGAAGAAATTATCAAAAAAAATCATCCAATAGCAAAAGAATTCCAAATTTCTCTGATGAAAGCTTATACTAATACAGCACAGCATATGAAAACAGAAATTACCCCTTAAAAATTCATATCTAATTATTTTTTACAGCATTAGATCCAGAGCTAAGAGGTAAAACCAGTACAATATTAGCTTTTGAAAAATTATCATCTTTTATGTCCCATATTTTTAGTGATAATGAAAAGTCAAAAGTAGAAGCTGAAATAAGGTTATACCAGAGTGATATTGATATCACCAAAGAAATGCTCTACACATCTGATGAAAGTGGAAATCAAGTCAAGTGTACAATTGATAAATATTGGTCTAAAGTTTTTAATTTAAAAGATGATTTCACAAATGATTATAAGTATCCTACATTGGCTAAATTGGTCAAAGCCTGCCTTAGCTGCTTCCATGGCCCATTAGTGGAAAGTGCATTAAACTTAATGGATACACTTGTCACTGACTATAGAACCTCTCTTAAGATTGATTTCCTAGATGCAGTGCAGACTATTAAATATGATTTAATGGCTTCTAAAGAAACCTCATGTGAAAAATATGGCTAAAAAAATCCAATGACTGATCCAATTCACAAAGATCTCTTACTGAATATGAACAGAAGTTGGAAAACATATCAAGAGGACTTAAAAACATGTATTTCAGATGAGTCACCTATAAAAGTCTCTGAAAAACCTTCTACATTAGCAGAAAAGCAAACTGCTTCTACTACCTCTGCATGTGCAGTTCTCGAGGAAATTTTCTTCAACTGTAAATGAGGAAATAAAAGTCAACCTTCCTGCAATTATGAAGTTTACCACAAAAGAAAGACAAGCCCACAAACATCAGAAAATAAAAAAAAAAAGCAGCAGAAATTAGATAATTTTTTTTTAAAGAATTAATTCAGGTAATTTAAAATATTTACATAAAATGTAGTAGTTTATATGTTTGAAAATTTATGGTTATTAATTTTGCAAAAAAGTAATTCATTGAACTTTTATAATTAGGTCATTCAATACTTCATAATTGTAATTTTTCATTTTTTCTCCCTCTTCTCTCCCCCCCCCCTTCTCGAAACTCCAAAATGTCGGTAGTAAGTCCGTGAAAGTTTCAGGGGATTTTTTGGGGTCCCACAAACACCCATGTGATAGACAAAAACTGACATTATTTTTGGAATCAAAGACCAAAAGTTGGTCAAAAACATGTGACAGATCTAAAGACACCGAAATTGCTGTTCCCAGTGTAATGGGCCATTGTGACAAGAATATTTTTTCAAATTTTGATACAGTCTCTCTTTCTCTTGATACAGACTTTTTCTCTACTTTCATTTTGTTCTTTTCTATATTTTTACTTAGTTTAAAGTTCTTTTTTATTTCATTTATGGCATTTCACTGTGAGTGAAATTTAGCCATTGATTTTTAACCTACTTCCTCATAAGCCATCGAGTTAAAATTTTGTATACTCAGTTTGTCAATAAGAATACACTTTGGTGAAGCGATTTTTTTTTTCAATATTTAATTTAGATTATTTTAATTTAGGGTTTAAACAAGTTTTTGCATGTATGTTCTCTTAGTGAATAAGCTAAGTATATCAGAATTATATTTTTTGCACCATCAAATAGAGTAGGGAAAAAAAAAAAAAACCTTTTCAATTAGACTTGTATGAAAACTGTAATGTAACTTCGGAATTTTTGGCAATTCATTGAAACTCGCTCACTCTTTTAGACCAGTGGTTCTCAACGATTTTAGAATTCACGTAGCAAGATATTTAAGTTGGAATGAACCTTTGGCAGAGCTGGCCATAGTATGTAACTGCAATGTTAGGCTATCAAAAATCCTGAGGCATTCAAACCCTTGGCTTAAACGCACAATAACTAATTTGCATTATAGTTAAGACTACGGAAAGAAGATGTTAATGTAAAGGTTCAAATCATAATCTGGTTAATTGACATAAAATCCTACCGTGTTTATGATTGCAACTGGGATTTTATCAAGACTAAACGCAACAACACATAGAGGGTTCCACTAAGGTGTTAACAAACTTGACATCATAAATTTTATTTAGGGATTTCAAAAGGTTTATTAAAATAGTCTTGCCACATGATTCAGATACATGATTTTGATACAGCCATGATTATGTCTTTTGGTTGGTGAGTTTCTTTTAGAAAATAAATTTATCATTTTCATAAGCTGTAAACTATTACTAATTTTCTGCCAGCTTTTTTTTCTTTAAAGCACATTTTCAATAACTTTTGCGTTTTTAAATTTAATGCTTTTACTTCTCTTCCCCCCCCCTTTGCCTGATATCTAATGTCACTGGAACATTTTAACAGGAGACTAAACATTTATGAAAATTGTAGTAAAAACAGTCATGTGAATACATGCACTAAATTGTCAACTTTGAAATAAATGTGCCACCAGTTGCAATAAGAAATGATCTGTTTTGGGGCTTTTTGAATTTTAAGTTGAATTTGTTATAAGCTGCATAGAATGAAATAAAAACAAATTATTAACAGTTTATGAATACAATAATTCATTTAAACTACTGAAAAATAGTGCTTTATGAGTGCTATGTCATAATTGCTGAATCAAGACCATAAGGATTGATGCTGAAAAAGGATAAAATTTGAGGCTCAAAAGTGATTAACTGTTATTTTTTTATAAAATAGTCTTTAATAATACAAATTTAAAATATACCTTCTAAATTTGTTTAAAGTCTAAACTGTTATAGTTTGATGAATGCCGTAGTACATATTTAATAATATTGGCAGGTTTAGGAAGCATTCGCTTTAGTTAATTATGGTTATTAGGGCTAATGTTTATTTATGTTCTCAGAAATGCTAGTAACTTTCATAGGTGGTCTTCTATAGTCTAGAGAAGGGTCTTTATAGTATACCTGAGGTAGGACTTTATACTATTGGTACAAGAAATAACAGCCAACTGTACTCAAAATATCAATATAAGAATTGATGGCCATGTTTATACTTTAAAAAAACCTCTGAGCTGCTAGCAGGAATATATTGTGCTATTAATTTTCACACACTGTATTTTTAGAACTTCTCTCACTTGTTCTATCTAAAGTATCGTATGTATCAGCTAAGTTTTTTGTTAAAATAATGGATGATTGACATAAAATAGGTATAGAACCATGTTTAAAATAATTAACATTAATGTTAATATTTATATAGAATTCATAAAAGATTAAAAATGAAAGACTTTTTGACATTTCATTGAAGTAGTTTTGTTTTGAGTAATAAATGTTTCCATATATATTATCTTTCCCAAAATAACTGGAATAAGTCAAAAGGAAAGGAAGCAGGAGATAAAAAAAAGACTCTTAGTTAAAAGCACAGGAACATTTTCATTTCCTTTTCAAAAATTTTGTGTGTGACTTTGTGTGTTTTTTATTAGCATGTAGAATTTAATTTTTAGTTATGTTGTAAGGTATCTTATGTTAAGTAACCAGTTATTAGGATTTTGATCTTGATCTTTACTATTACTTCTTCCTTTCGTATCCCTTACCAGAATGCAAATTGGCTTTGACTGTATTTAAGCTGAGGGTTTTGAATCTTAGAAGGTTATGAGCCTCTGGCACTTGCATTTGCTGTTAGTTTTTCACTAGTTCTGTTTAAAATGATATTATGGCTTTGGCATTCTCGCTAACTGAATTAGCAATTGCGCACCAGTAAAATAACTGAGCCAGCTTATTTCTTATTTTACTGCATGCGTATTCCTAGACTGTGTTACCCATGTTTGAATATGATTGTCTGTTATTGCATAACTTAAATAGCCACAGGTGGTGGCTGATCTATAGCGCAAATTGCGCCTTAATGTTTAGTTTCTGACTAAAATAAAAAGGATATTTGAAATCTTTTTCTGTATTTGTGAGTTGTTGAGACATGGCAATAACTTGCTATTAGTCTAGTAAGGTTTGCAAGACTTTAACTTTTAATTCCAGTTATCAATAACAAGTCTAGAGTGTTTATATAAAGTATTGTTGTAAATAAGTCTGCCAATTCTTTGTTGAAATTATATATGATATCTTACTTTATTATTGTTAAAAATATAGGTTCTGTTCCTTTAAGTGAACAAGAAACGGCTGCTGTTTCCGAAAAATATGAATTAAAAGATGTAAGCATTGCTTAAGTAACATGATTTTTCTTTCTTGATTACCCCCTTTTTCTATTAAACTCTGTTTTAAATGTTGTTTTTACTGTCTGAAGATTTCATTTTTTCTTAGGATAAGATTGATATCTCTGAAGATAAAGAAAATGCTTTAGATAGTGGAACAAAGGAATCAAAAATGAAACTGTCTGAAGAATTGAATAAGAAAGCAAAAATGCGTTTTAATGAAGCTCTAAAGAAAGATCGTCAGAAACAGGTATTATTTGCTTTAAGTCTTATAAGAAATTAAATTAGTATTTGTCAGTAGTTAGTCAACAACCACAATAGATTTAATTTAAAAAATTGCTAGTAAGTTTTTTCATTCTGTTTTAGCTTAAAATTAAAATTAGGTTGATGCTTCAGTGAAAGAAAAAATATTTTATTTCCTCCTTTTTTTGAATTTATCAGAAATAATCTGTTATTTTTAATGGTAAGCATGCATGAATGGTTTTTAAAATTCCGATAACATAAATAATTTTTAATGTTAATAATGCTGCTTAAATACTATATAGTAGGTGCAATTAATTATTCAATTATACAGTCAAATGTCGTTAATTCGGACCTCAAAGCTACAAACTTTCTGCGCATGCGTCAAGACCTTTATGGCTGCGAATATGCTTGTGCGCATGCGCAAAATACGTTTACGAGTGCGCATTTAATGTATAATAGACGGTATAAACTAAGCTAAAATTATCTAGTTATCTATTTCAGTTAATGTTGCAGATTGCGTTGTTCCTTAATCTTCGAATTGGATCCGGCTTATTATTTTTTGCAGACTGTTAGAGCAATTTTATAAAAGTAAGCTTGAACTTTCGATTATGTCAAATAGAATTTCTGATATATATTTATTAATATGTAAAGGATCTACAAAGCGAAAGTATATTTCAAAGTTCATTAAACAAAAAGTGGAATTGCTGCAAAAAATGGATAAAGGCATATCCTTTTTTTACCTAAACATTAAAGTTTGTTTAGATAAACTTTGTTTATCTTTAACGCGGGGGCGCGCAATGAATTTTAAGTTGATCTGTCAGCTCTATCCTTATCTTCAGGGCAGATGTTTTTATTTTATTTGGCTTATAATTCCTTACTAAATGTAGTATTTCATCTCGATGTACTCCGTTTTTGATATGATTTAAATCAAATTCCTCGTCATTTTAATTCGCTTCCGATAGCGAAGAAAGTGACAGAGGTTATTGAAAATGAAAAAATTTCAATTGACAAATTAGTCGGTAGACACAGCAATTATAGGACTTGAACAGCGGAACTTTGTAACTGAACAAGAAAGTATGTCTGTTTATAGAAGTAAAGAGAATGTATTATCACATAAAACGAAGCAACTTAAACAACTTACATTGAAAGAAATGTTTAATAAAGTAAACAAATAAATATTAAGCTTTTTTTTGTAAATTTTGATACCCTTTAGATCATAATTGTTCTTTATTTCATAAATTAGGGTTTCATATTTTTAATTTTGTAATTTCTGCATGCCATCTTCCCAGATTTAAACTGATGATCTATAATCCGGGAAAATCGATAATTCGGAATCGCCGAAGTCCCGACGAGTCCGGATTAACGACTTTTGACTGTATTTGAATTTTTATTATTGAATGGAATTTTTTGTTGTTGTTATTTTTGTTAATTTCTTCACTGAGCAAATGTTTTGTTTCTTTAATAAGAATAATTGTTAATATTACACATAACGGTAATTTGAAATGTTATAGTTCATTATGCTTCTTATAAACCTGGCTTAGAGATTTATTTCAATATTATCTTATTATTGTATTACAAGGCGTTCCAGTAATTTTTTTAGACACAATGAGTATTAAATTAATATTTTTTAACATCACTTACCTTTTACATATACTATTTTAATTATTTGTACACTGATTAAAAAGAAGTTATTCAAGGTAGTTGATGTATAGTCATTTTTCATTTTATATGTGTTATTGCATATGCTTTATTTCATATGGCAGTCAATTATTATGATTTAGAGTACATTTAGCTTTTATAAATATGCACATTTATACATGTACTGTAATACCTCGCATGTATTCCAACTAACATTGTGATGGCAGTTACCATAAGACCAAAAGTGCTATATTTGTTCCCAGCAGTTCTCACCGCTAGAATAGCTAATCATCAAACACATAGACACAGATTTAAAACACTTTATTTTACCTCACCATTTGTGAGTGATTAAATTAAAATTTACAGCAATAACATTAACAGTCAATGTGGACCTGGTTTCAACACAATGCTTGCTTTTACAAAGGATATAAATCCAAAAATGTAAATCTAACCTATGCAGAATCTGTAAGATTACGTAGACCACAACAAAATTTTGGACACATATCTAAGGAAAGGAGTAAATTAATGGTTTGTTAGTGAAACTTAAATGCCACATTCATCCCTTCTAGAAGAAGAGCTTTGAATGAGGCCTTAAAGGAAATTTGTCAAAAGAGTTAAAAACCATAAATTATAATGCTTTTTTGTAGTCTTTTTTTCTTTCATTTTATTTATTTAAGTAAATTCTTGTGTAATCTATCCTTCCAGTTGTACCTGGAAGGAAAAAGACATTTTATAATACTTAAGCACACTATAATACATTTCATTTCACTATAACATATTTATTTTGATTAAAGACTTTCATTTTTATACAATCCTTTTATTTTTATCCTTTTATTTAAAATCCTTCTTAATCTTTATCTATGACCTTTGCGTTTCTTCTGAAAACGACATGGTGTATCTGTTGTCTTTTCTGGTATTGCTACCCTTACTCAGTTTTCCAAAACATGTTAGTACTAATTTCATTTTCTTGACAACACCTTAGCACCACAAAATCTACCCTAATGTCTACATGTCCTCTTTTACTTAGGTGTGTTGGCTGTAGATTCAGTTTATTTCATTCACAACTTATTCTCTTTCATATTTACTGAAAGTCAAAATACAATCACTGCTTATATCTTTACACATTATGCACAATTTAAATAATTAACTTCTGACCTTTCTAAATTTAACATTTGAACGCACATCTCATTTCAGAAACTTTTAAAATCTTTTCAAAATTAACATTTCAACTTGCATTATAGTTTCAAACAAATATGAATTCTTAAATTAATTATATACAATCTTTCATACTTAAATTGTTATATTTAATTTTGGCTAATTGCACTATTTTAAAATTTTCTACAATAAAATATATACTACTTTGTCTTAATTTTAAAAACACTCTTCTGTTTGAAATATTAACAAATACAGTCAAAAGTCGTTAATCCGGACTCGTCGGGACTTCGGTGATTCCGGATTATCGATTTTTTCCGGATTATATATCATCAGTTTAAATCTGGTAAGATCGCATGCAGAAATTATAAAATTAAAGATATGAAACTGTAATTTATGAAATAAAGAACAATTATGATCTAAAGGGTATCAAAATTTACAAAAAAAAAGCTTAATATTTATTTGTTTACTTTATTAAACATTTCTTTCAATGTAAGTTATTTAAGTTGCTTCATTTTTTATGTGATAATACATTCTCTTTAATTCTATAAACAGACATAATTTCTTGTTCAGTTACAAAGTTCTGCTGTTCAAGTCCTATAATTGCTGTGTGGAGAATACCGACTAATTTGTCAATCGAAATTTTTTCGTTTTCAATACCCTCTGTCACTTTCTTCGCTTTCGGAAGCGAATTATAATGACGAGGAATTTGATCTAAATCATATCAAAGACGGAGTACATCGAGATGAAATACTACATTTAGTAAGGAATTGTAAGCCAAATAAAATGAAAACATCTGCCCTGAAGATAAGGATAGTGCTGACAGATCAACTTCCAATTCATTGCGCGCTGCGGCGTTAAAGATAAGGTTAGATAAACAAACGTTAAAGTTTAGATAAACAAAGGATATGCCTTTATCCATTTCCTTGCAGCAATTCCAGTTTTTGTTTAATGTACTTCGAAACATACACTCGCTTTGTAGATCCTTTACATATTATTAAATATATATCAGAAATTCTATTTGACATAATCGAAAGTTCAAGCTTACTTTTATTGCTCTAACTGTCTGGAAAAATAATAAGCCGAATCCAATTCGAAGATTAAGGAACAATGCAATCTGCAACATTAACTGAATTAGATAATTTTAGCTTAGGTTATACCGTCCGTTATACATTAAACGCACATTCGTAAACGTATTTTGCGCACGCGCACACGCGTATTCGCAGCCGTAAAGTTCTTACACCCATGCGTCAATGAGACGCATGCGCAGAAAGTTTGTAGCTTTGAGGTCCGAATCATAGATCATTCCGGATTATGGGTCTCCGAATTAATGACTTTTGACTGTATTAGCTTAGTTTTTATTTTTCCAATCCATTGCTTTTCGTGCTGTTCCACTCCCGCAGTCGATGTTGACACTAGTCCTGGAACTTTGTAGCTTGTAGATTCATAATCTTGTTGTATTTGCTTTGTTAATGATTCCTGTAGCTGCTCTGAGATGACACTCTGTGAAAGCAATGCCTTTCTATTCCCTTTTATGCTCCAACTTTAGCATTGAAGTCTTTACCACATAAATACATCACTACTGCAGCTTGAGCATATTGATCTTTTCATCAGTGAAGTAGTGGTCCATTCTCAGTTTCTACTTCCCCCCCCTTCTTACTGTAGATTGCATTGTCTGTTAGTTGCTTGGGGCTGCAGCTCATGTAGGGTCTTTTGGCACTGAATTGGTCTCTTCATGGGCTTGTCATTTGGTTACTTTCACTGGCCGGACGGTCTTTCTAGGCTTTGATGGTAGTTGTTTTCTTTTCCGGCCCTGTTGCCAGACTGCCACCTTTTTCTTGGTTAATTTTCACATGAAGCTCCCTCTGTTTTTTTTATCATAATGCAGTTTTTACCTATTCTTGGTCTTTCATATGAAGTCTTTGCCTATTCTTGGTTTATTATCCAACATTTTGAGTGTCTAATTGATTTACATATGCATATCGTTTTGTTGATATTTGGGTTTCCCTCTTGCGCAAAAAACGGCTTCATTTTGGCCCAGCAATAGTTTTGCCTGAGATTTTTCCATTGCTTCATATTTTGCAAACCACAATGTGTATGCTAATTTTTCAGTATACAAATCTTGACCGCTGTGATATATTCTTACATAACAAAAAATTATTCATATATATTTCTGTTTACTCTCTCAGCAATATTTGACTGAAGTCTATATGGGGC